GCTCTCCGCGACGCCACGGTTAACGCCATCAACGACGTGCGGACGGAATCGAAGGAGGTTGCCGACATGCTGACACACCGGATTAGCCAAGGTACATCTTCCCTGTTAGCCGATCTTAATAATAGCGGTAGGTAAGCGTATTGATAATATTCCTGTCGTAGCATCCCTTAGCCCGGTGCAATTGCAACATCAAAAGCTCGATGCAATTTTCTATGTGGCTACGGCGTTTAGAGGATGTCATGAGAATGCGATCCGCTTCGTGTACACCTCAGCAGAAGGCATGGTTCCTCATCGGCTACTTGGATGGCGCAGCACGAGAGAAAGTCGAGGAGCTCCCCCTAGAGGATCGCGAGAGCTACGAAGCCATCGTCGCCCACCTCAGGAAGTCGTTCGAAGGACCTCAGCACAGGTACATGGCGCGGCAAGCCCTGTCTGCTTGTAAGCAACAAACAGGTGAATCTTCTGCTGCATTTGCTAACCGTCTGCTCACTTTGGTCCGTGCAGCCACCACAGAACAGGACCCAGCTACGCAGAAGGAGGAGTGTCTTGGAGGAGGTTGTCTCACGCCTTCGTCCAGATATCAGAGGCAGCGCAACGGTGGCTACTCTCGAGACGCTCAAGGAGGACCTACTCAACCCTGCTACAACTGTGGAGGCACCGGACATTTCGCTCGGCAAAGCCCATCGCCACGGAACCAGCGCAGGCCTACAGGTACCCCTTCCTATAATGTGCGTTCTCGTCCGCTTGACCGTCATTTGCCTCATTCTTCTCCATCATCTGAGCTATATCCAGCTCGTCGTGATCAGTCTCACGACCTTTTGGAAGCCCGCGAACAAATTCGAGCTCTCTCTGTTTCTCTGCGCGAAAACCAATCAGCGTTAGAGCGATTTGAAGCGAGAGCACATGCTCTCATTAAACGTAACGAAGAATTAGCTCAGAGTTCTTTTGGCGGTTTGCCTTCTTCTTCCTCTAGATCTGGTTCGACCCACTTGCCTCAAGTCAAGTTTCTATTGCCGCTGGTGGCACTCCACGTTTTGCGGGAGCACTATAGCTCTCCCAATGTCCGCGTGGCTCTGCTCGCAGGATTCATCGGACACGTTTATGAGAATTCCATCCATCTTCATACAATTGCTCGTATATTAGTCCTCGCCTCGGTGATATTCCTCGTCCTCTCTCTCTATGTATATCGCCCAAATACGGAACGTTATGATACATCTGCGTTCCTTTGTAAGATCATAACCCCCACAGTGATCTATTCGGCCAACTTCTTAGGGGCACGATTTGAGAACCATTCTGAGACCTTGGAAATCGTCCCTTCTGAAACCTGTAAGCTCATGATTCAACATCATCGATGCGCTCATGGGAACTTGCAGTCAACTGGCGACATCTCTAACGTTCTGTATATCTCGTGGCCCTCCGCCCCATTTGGATGTTGCTCTGATCACCTCGCGTCTGCGACTAATTGCTATGTGATACCCACAGTAATCCATATGCGTCACGGGTCTTCCTTCCCAGATTCCACGGCAGATGACCTTAAGCACTGCAGCTACAGCGCAGGTAGTCGCACCTTACGTGACGATTCCGCCCTGGTGTGGACACCCAACACCGAAGAGCAATGCCAGTTCGTGCCAGTGACCAAGATGTCTGGCCATAGCGTCGGCGACATCTGGATAAGTGATTCCAAGGAGTTCGCATTGTCTTGGCGCAACACCAGCAGTCAGATCCAAGATTGCGGCAGAGACCTCACGATTTCCGACCAGGGGTGCGCACTGGCGCCTATCACCAAGGTACCGCGTCAAACCTCAGTGTAGTTATATACAACCAGTTGGCGACGCAGCTCCTCGCCGTAGAAGGGTCAATGGGATCTACGGTGACAGCTTTGTTCCACCACGCGCTCAGCGCTCTCTGCGATAGGAACCAACTTGTTGGCGTTAACCCTGCACACGTCTTTAAAGAACGATCCCACCTTTACCGTGCGCAGCCTACTTGGACGCCAAAACCTGGCAGCTTTTTCTCTTGGGAACGAGATCGCCCGTATCCACCGTTGTATCCAGGCACCCTCGCAAAACGTGCGCCTGGTTCAGTTCGATGGCACGGCTATGCTAAGCCCGCGGTAGAGCTCACACTGCCTCGAGAGACGTCACTGCGTTCGTTTATAGACCACACGATCCGCGTAATCACTAGGGACGCACAGCCGATCTCGTGCTCTTCCTTGCCTCAATTCATTTTTGCGCACCCGTCAGGTTATTTCAAGTACGACGCGCTGTCTGGTGCGATCCAAGTTTTACCACCATCGGTGATTCGTGACGTCGGCCTACCAGGGAATCTCAACGCTTCTGCTCTCTCTCCCTCACTATTTTTCACAATCTGGTATTGACTAATTTGAGTGAATTAGTTCAAGACCACCAGTGGCAAGAGTTGTGGTCGACGGTAAGTCCCTATCGGCTCTTTTCGGTCCAGGGCCATGAAGCCCACACATCGTATCTAGCCTCATCATCTGTCTCTCCGTTCTCTGCGATGTCGTCTTTTCTTTTCGGTTCGTGGTCTCATTTTGAAGTATAGGTCAGCTTTTGTTGTGCTATTGTCCCTGCCCGGTTGCTCAGCAGCTTTGCCATTTGTATCTCACTCTATATTATCCAGGGCGGCTGCCCCAGTTCAAAGACCTGTTTCAATCTAACCGCTCCCAACGGGAGCCGGCACACACGGACCCTTCGGGTCACTCAGAAATGCGTTCTCCGCCACCGCAATACCGTATTTCTGCTGTAGAACTCCCTCGAACAGAGATTGACGCCACCAATTAGTGGCCTCCGCGAGCAATTACGAGTTCCGTGAAAGTGTTATCTCTCTCTGATTCAGATCACTTCTCTTCGTAGCTCAAATCCCCATTCGAGTCAATAATATTCACGTTCTTGCTCTGGTCGATACAGGCGCCTCTATTACAGTAACCGCAGTAACTACTGCTTCCCTCCTTGGCATATTTGATCTCGCCCAAAGCGAGGTTTCTAGCGCCGAAGGGATGTCCGGAATCCCTATTCGTTTATTAGGTAGAGCCCTTCTCAAATTCGAGATCGGGCGATTATCTTTGACCGCCCAGTCTATTCCACAGAGGGTTCCGACGTTCCGACACAGAGATGAGTCCGACTCCTATAACATCATTATGGGGAATGACCTGTTGCGTCGTCTCCCCCCATGGTCCATTGATTATAATACCCGTACCTTTTCTATGGCTAATGAAGCGGTCAAGAGTCTCTGTGCCATCCCGGCGCAAGAGGATCCCCCGGTTAGAGAACCAATCACGGTCCGCGTATCTACCACGACCGTGCTCCCTCCTTCAGCGGAGACTTTTGTACCCTGCCAGACGGACAAGACCGACGACTACCCTCTAATCTTAACTACGCAGAGCGACCACCTTTCCGACAGATCGCTCATGGTAACCCCCGCAGTCATCAACTCCGGGCCGGCGATGTTACTAATTGCCAACCCGTCTCCTCGACCAGAGTGCTCTATAAAGGTCAACAGATCTCTAGTGCTGTGCGCCTCGCTGGAAATGCCACCATCATCCTGTGTTCGATACCACTTGTCGGAGCAGTAGATAACATGGCGGTTCGCCCCCTCACAAAGACTTGTTTAGATCCAGAATGGATCGATCTATCTCATGCCGAGGTTTCTCCAGAAGAACGCGCGCAGTCTCACTTATTTCATGAGTTCCGTGATCGAATCTCGCCCTCTACTTACGATTTGGGTTCGTACGAAGAAAGCGAAATTGTTATAAAAACTACCACTGACGTTCCTCCTCATCGCTATCGCCCCCTC